TTCGAACCACCCTAACATGGAAATGGTCATCTTAATGACAAAAAGGGTCTAAATTTTTACGAAATTCTGAGAACCACTATATCGTATACGAGAAAGGCACTTGTCAACGGTGGGTGGTTTAATTAGGGTTTTTATGTTAAAAGAGGCTGTATTGTTTGTGTTTGACATATTTCTTTTTACTGTCTGTCGATCATTGGAATAAATAAGGGGGGGGCGGAAGGCCCTTAGCCCCTTAGCCCCCCTCCCATCGAGACCTAGAGCTGACCCACCCCAGAGAATTTAAGAAATAAATACCGGAGCAATCTATTTTTGCATTGCATGTAGGTATTGTAATATTTTTTCCAGATTATCTAAAGTAAATTCTGCTGCGTCTTTGAATTTCTTAAATAATTGCTAATGATTGGCATTAACATTTCACTTACATTTTTACATCACGCAAACGTTTCATATAAAGGTTTAATCTCTTCATTCGTTTCAAAGACATATTTTAATTTTGAAAACATTTGAAATTCCGTCAAGAAGTGCCTCTGAGCTTCAGAATAATACAGAATAAACTTTTTCAGTTTTTCAAGACTTTGTAAATCATCCACAGAACTTCATAGACATCATAAAAAAACTATGGATATCAACTAAGTTCTATAAAACATATACGAAACTCACTATTTACTTCTACAAAGTTTCTTTAATTCAATTGTTCAATTGTCAACAAATAAACTACATAAATTCCTTGCCCTTCATAGAAGTTGTACAAAGGTTTTAGATATTCCATTTAATTCACTCAACTTGTACAAATATCGCAAAACTACCATTAATTTACTGGCCTTGTATGGAGCTTTCCGATCTATTAAGAATTTCGTTTATTTTTTGTTCCCTTAAGTTTCCACCATTTGACATTTTAAGCAATTTCCTAAACTTAGTTTAGTATCTAAATTTCTTAAGAATTCGTACACCCAACATAAAAAAAAAAAAGATTTGCTTGCAATTACAAGGGATTCATCATCGCAGAATGTTAGTGGAGACCGCATGAATGGAGGATGCGATAGATCGAGCGGCAATGCTAAAAAATTGTAAATGTAAAATGTGGAGTGTATTAGAGAATGAAATGAATCATGCAAAAACATAAATAAAAAAAAGGTTGCCGACTGGGGACGCAAACCACGAACGCAGCGATTATCAGACTTATGCTTTATCAACTGCTGTCTTCTTACTTTGAAATATCAATAGGCTAAAAGTGCTCATTTTCTCTCATACTCGACTTCGTATGCTTTTTCTGCTGAGCGGAGATTGGAGAGAATCGTGGCAAGTGTGTGCGTCGTTCTACAATGTTATAATAAAAAGCTTTCTGACATAGTCGAAAGCGTCGACAGAACATGAAATTAAAAAAAAAAACAAAACAAAACATTACATCGTCTTTGGAGGATGATAAGAAATGCAACTAACATTAAATGTAATACATATTTGGTTTACGTTTAAGGACAAAAAACGGTTCCAAAATTTGAATAGAGTTTCCTGCAATAAAGCAAATTTTCATTAACTTCATTGAATTTCCCCAAACATGTACATGTTGCCCGCTTTTACGAAGTTTTCCATAAAAAACTGTTGCTCTCCGAATTTTTATTAGATTCCAAGTATTCCAACGATTTGGCGGATGGAATTGTGTTTTTTTCGGTCGCTGTTTTTTCGTTGACTTCTGTCACTTTTTTCAAATGTTTTTGCATTTTTTATAAATATCTAAAGCTATACAGTAGGAAATTAGTGCCTTTGAATAGAACTTTTGATGTGTGCTGCTGCGAAAAAACATCTACAAGCAAGAGGAGGAGGACGATGGCGACCATTATGTCTTAAGACAGGATCTATAGACACATAATTTGGTGAGATCTTATCATATTATTTTACTGACAATGGATATTCCCAATCGTGTTTTACATCATGCTTTATTAAATACGCGCTGGATTCAAAGCATTGATCTGAATCTGAAGGTGTGCTTGCAGTTCGATTAGCCATGTGATATCGGAACTGTAGACATGTGGAGCTTATGGCTTCTGAAAGTGTGACTTCGAAATTTTTATGAATTATCAAACATTTTAAAATGGGTTTTTGGATCAACAGTAGAGCTAGCACTTTCTAATTCCCGGACTAAAGGTGCTTTCAGTTATCTCTAATATGATAATTTCAAGTATATTTCTTCCATAATACCACTTGCAAGAAATGTTGCATACAATATTTTGAATGTTAACTTGTATGATACATGACGCTCCTTTTATATGCATCATAGTGATAGAAAATCACATTACTTTTTTCAACTGTGTAGGCTACGAACCATTTTCAACCAACTTGGTCAAATTCGCGAACGGTTACTCTCAAGGAAATGATTAAAATGTGTTTTGAAATGAAATTCAGCATGAGACATTTTTATTACATTATGCTCAATTCTGTAGCGCGATTTTTTTTTTCGTCTTATTTTTTATTTGTCTAAACATAATAGAATATTATTTGATTAAAATTTGATTACCGATGGTCATAGCCTACTTCAATGCCACGCTTGTATTTGCGTCGAATCATTTTTTTTTTTCATTACACTTGATATCAAAAAACATAATTTTGCACTAACTTTCGAATGTTTCCGAAACATAGGGATGTGATTTTTGAAAACCTGATAGATTCGTTCAGACAATGCCAAATTGGAAGAAAAAATTATCTGTTATTATACATCATCTGTAAGAGCTTTGTTTTCTGAGCACAGCGTTGTTTTTTTTTCGATCTCACAGATTTTTATCTCGAGTTTTAAATCAAGATTTAATGCAAGATAATAACTTCACTGTTTGACACTCAATTGACAGCTCGCTCCCATACAGAGTCCCACCGAGGGGCGCTAAGATGGTGATTTTTGCGAATGTAATCGCTCTATTTAAAATTGTCAGAACACACGGTTTTTCGAAGGTCCGTCAACGCCAATTGAATTAGAGTGTGAGCACCGGAATGATAATTCGCGGTAGTGGTAGATGGGCTCTTTGCAATGCGCCATGGTATGAGAGGTCCCTTTTGTTCCCCCGTTGTTTGGATGGAAGATGAACTTTGACGTCAAACTCCGTCATCCGTTTGATCGGTATTTGTCGTGAAGCAGGATCTTATACCCCGTTTACATTACAGCCTATATCACGTAATATGGGCTGTCTTGCAATGAGCACTCATACATAGGATTTCCAGTGAAAACTAGATGTATTATTGCTCATTGCAAGACAGCGTATACCACGTGATATACGCTGTAATGTGAACGGGGTATAAATTCCATTGATGATGATGATATTAAACTTCTTTCGGTTGCTCTGCTACAGTCAACTCTCCATAACTCTATGATCCCTTCAATATCAATGTATAAATTTCATTTTTATAAATGAAATTTAATAAATTCATGTTGATCTTCGACAAGCTTCGTCTACAATTTGGACTTGTACATCAACACATGTCAAGCAGCTAAACTTGGTGAGTTCGTTCCATTTGGTAAATTTTTATCTTTTCAAACCAGTAACGTTGGGAGATCACCTTTTGTGGTGCGTTACTGGTATAAGATCTACCAACGAACCATGGCCGTCACAAATTCAAACTAGGGAATCAGAATTTTCCAATTATCAAAGGATAACATTTTATTCCTTGTTACTTTTTATGACTTGATAATAGTGACAATACTCGGGTAGTGATCACCGCCGTTATGCATTTCTATATTGTGTATTTCAAATCAAAAATATTGTTTTTGTTCATAGATTTCACATAATCCTTTTCCCTTTGTCCTTCTTCTTTTCCTTTCCCTCTTCTCTTTTCAGAAAGCGAGTAATGGCGCTATAGCCATAAGTCATAAAAGGCTAGGACAAGAGTTAGTGCTCATGTTCCAACCGTCAGAAGAAAATGGAGCATCACTTAACCTTTCTAGCTTTGATGCTTCCAACGACCAACCAATCATATAATTACCAAAATCGGAACGTACGGTACGAGATGTCCACGTTTCATCCATTTATTCGATTCTGAAGCATCGTGTTTAAATCTTCGATTTAAACAGGCCCGATGTTTTCTGAATCATCTTGCCCCTAAAATGCTGCACAGTAGGCCTGGCCGTTTTGATATGTGTGACGCATCTTCGATGTGAAACATATATCAAATTGACAAGAAAAATGATGTAGGTATATATATTATTTTCCAGGATGCTTTCAAGAACTGGCTGTGTTGGTGTTAGATTAGATTAGATTCCAAGCATTCCAACGATTTCACTTGAATATCTCCTAAAGTAAAAAAACTCAATGAAGGTTGTAAAAAATGCCAAAACATTAACGAGCATCCTCAATGTTTTACAAATTTCTAAAAAGTTTTATGAAGGTATACTAAATAAATTGAATTTCTACGAAGTTCACTGGAGTATTACGAAGTTAACTGAATTTCTATGAAGTTCACTGAGCTTTTTAACTAATAAGTGCACTCCTATAAAATGTGTTGCATTTCTATAAAATGTCCAGAACTTCTACGCAGTTCTAAAATGTTTTCTAGGGTGCTATGAAATTTCAAAATATTTATATGGTTTCTTGAAGTTATAAAATAACTTTTAGAGAGTTTCCCAAAAATCTTCGAAGTTCCCTGAAATCAATGTCTTATGTCATAGCTTCTACGAATATTCATTGATTTCTAAGAAGGTCCCTGAGCTTCTGTAAAAACTAAGTTTAAAAATGTGTACATCTTGCGCCAGTAGAAATGTTTAAATATAGATGTCGGGAAAATTTATCGATCCCCCCATACTCGTGATGGTTTATGCTTTATGTCTTGTTAGCTAAAGCCAAGCTCAAACCCCCCCCCCCCCCCCCCACAAGGCCAACATCCTAGCGGCCGATGGTAATGGTTTTATAAATCCGAGGAACATTTTCCACGTAAAATGAGCATTTGCTTGATACCTGTGAAATGCCACTAACCACGGTGTCACAGGGTATGTAATTGAATTTTTTCAAAACGGCACTTACTTGATAGCACTTGCTAAACACCTGCGATTAAAAAAAAAGTCTTGCGTCTGCGTCTCTCCTGCCCTCGTTAAAAGCCACTCGAGGCAACACGTGAAACAGGAAATGATTTTAGCACAGTCCACTTCCGTTCCGTGTGTTTACCGTGTTTGTCGCTTTGTTCTCTGTTCTGTTGCGCACTCTACTGTTGTTTTCTTGCCAGGAAGTTTGGAAAGTTGAAGAAACTTGATTGTTTCGCTGTTGATGCTAGAATTATTTTTCCTTGCACTTCACTCACTGTCACACTGCTTCCACTCACGTAAGATTCGGATGCTGCAGGGCTGAAGGATGGTCGTAAGTTTATACTGTTTCTGTTAAAAATAAACACTTTGCACTGTTTGTTCCTTTTCGTCAGTTTGGAATGATCCCAAAAAATTGTACGAGTGACTTTTATTGTCCTCGTTTTTTCTTCGTCCTGAATGCGGGTTATTTATAGAATTTCTTTTGGTTGTGTCGAAATGAAGCCTCGAATAGTGATTCCTTTGGGCAATGGAAGATGATCACGACGTTCACTGGTGAGAGAGGGGTTAGCCGTTATCGTTGGCTATTTATCTCCGTTGATTTAATTTTCGAGTTTCCTCTTTGGATCCCGCTTTGCGTCGTTATATTCTATTTGGATCTGATAGCACTCTAATGGGACCTTTGGACAATCCAATAATCACCACCGGGCGTTGATGTGTAATGGAGATCCACAAGGTTATTTTTTTAGTTTGTTAAAACGGTAAGAAAACTTTTTACAATTATTAATCTTGGCTAGTAAGACACGCACATATATGTTACGAAGCACTAAGTGTTTACATCCGACTTCTTTCTGCTACTGATAGAGATATGGTTATGGTGCTCGTGCAACAGAATTTATTCTTGATACTCTCTCGTTTGTAGTATGTATTATTAAAGAGTTCCTGTTTCCTTTTGGCACAAGTAACAGCACGACAAAGACGACGTTGACGATGACAACGAAATGGAATCCGAGTACACCCTAGAGCAAAGCTATTACAAGTTGATAAAATCTTTACAACTCTGGCACTGTTGGGCGAAGTAGATTAGCACGCCGGTGTCAAGCTTGTCTTCGACAGTCAAGGACTCAATGTCGTGACAACGAGACAAGATGATGACGACGTGATAACGCGTCAACGCTAATGATAAAGCGATATAGCAAACGAAAATCAATTACCAATTTGGCTTGATTCGATGTTGCCAATAACAATTGGGCTGGTACTTGCTTAAAGCCGCTGGAAAATTTCGGTAATTTGATTCCGGTTTCCTTGGTGTAAACACTAATCCTGGCGGGGCGCACACACAGATTTCGCGGGCACAAAAACTGATCTCGATTGGGGTCGTTTAGATTTTCCCGGTAACCGTGGGCTTAGTGTAACACGAGGGACAACTAGTATGTTTTGGAGAGTTGAATGGTGGAACAAGAAAATTTGTGTGTCAAAAAGCGTTTTAGCACGCGGCCGTACAGGTCAAAATTGCACAGAAGACTGACTGGCTGACTGGAAGGAACTATCCATCCGCTTTCGGTTCGGATGCGGCAACCAACAAGGATCGTGTAATATGGCACAAACCACCCTCCACGTGCCATGCCCAGCATCCCGGGCGATGGCATCGTTCCAAAGTGATCACCTGTGTATGCCATCGTTCGTCTCGTCGTAGGAAGCCGGTTTTCTGCCTATTAACTTCGTTTGGCGTTCACAAACACCACCACTCGGACCCAGAGGAATCAGACCAAAGACCACCCAGCTACCACCCACACGATTCGCGTTCGTTACTTGCTTCGGATTGGAAAGCTTTTCCTCTTGGAACGAATCCTCCCGAATGGTGCCGACATCGAACGAAAGCTCCGAGCTTTCGTGAGTTGAAACGGGAAAACCCACGCTGGGAATGCATTCCGTAGTGGAACAAAAGAGACCAATCTATCATGTTTCGCGTTTTCCTGTCGGTTGTGTTCAAAAAACAAAAAAGACGCAGCAATATGATGAGAATGTGGTGAAGAACAGGTGTGTTGAGAGCGCCGTAATTTACAACATCATTGAGTTTCGTTCGTGCTACTGCTGCAGCTGCAATGGCGTGCATTGCAGCGGTGAAATGAGTAGTGGGACCATTGTAAGAGAGTAGACGCTTTCTTATGGCTGGCTGAGAATGGAATTTTTTTCGATGAATAGGTCTCCTGGAGAGATGAGAAAAGTGCAGTCAGCATTGCCGGGTTAGCATTTTTGGAAAATTAAATCAAAATGCTAGTCTTTCCATAAACATATGAAGATTACGAATAATCCGTTTGATCTGGTTTGAAAACTGTATCAAGTACAAGTCAGGTTTGCAAACAGTCTTGTCAGTACAAGTATAGCAAAGGTGGCCGCAAGGTATAATATTTAGGACGGTTTTGACGCAGTAGTTTTTCATGCAAACCGTCTCACCAGATCATTTTAAAGTATAAACAAGGCCAGTTTGATATACTTTTTTACTTAATCCAATTATCGAAGTTCCTACTACAATGCACCTTAACTAAAAAGCACAAAACAATGACTGTAGTCTACTTAATTTAACAAATTTACATTTTGGAATCGATACTATTGTGTTTTGCTTAAGCGCTGAGTCTACCGCATTAATTCAAGACGTTTTTCGCATACATTTTGTTCTCAAGTGGGTTATGAGTTTATCGGTTATCGACGGTGGTGATCGAATTCAATTTCACCGTGCCGATAGTTTAATCTTATGGAATTAGATATTTCCAAACATTTTATTTATTCCAGGATTTGAATAATATGACAATTATATGGAATAAAAGTTAATACCTAACAATCGTGCGCTTAAACAGATGTTTTGCTGCTATGTGAGGAGAACCAATCGATTTGGTTGTATTGTATCCGGGCGTGGTTTGGTTAAAATAGTTTTAATTTTTCAAACTTTTTTTTTTTTCTCGAGTGACGTGGGTTTTTCGGTGTTGTTGTGGATCGGTAGTCAGATTTTTTTGGTTTTAAATCTTTTCTCGATCCTGTTGCATGGTGTGCTCTCGCATTTTCCTTCGTTGAGAGGTATGGCTTCAATCGCGCGAGATCTTTTATTTGTTTGTTGACATCAGCCACACATTCTTGCAGTTTTTAGATTGGCCTTTGGCTGATCGGAGTGTGTGATTGGGATTTTTTTTAATAAAAATGCCAGCTGTAAGATAATAAAAATTATGTGATTTGAGTTTGAGCATTTTTATTGGAACGCTCCAATTTGGAGTTACTTATTTAAAAAGTAAATTTCCGAAAACAAAATTAACCAAATATGCTGAAACTATGCTCACAGGTAGTTAGGATACAGTTCTGTCATATAATTCAAGTTTGACTTAAAACCATTCACTGCAAAAAAGTATTATCAGTTTGACTTATTTTACCGCCTGAAAAAAATTACTTCTGGCTGATCTCGTTTTTCACTATGCAGACAAAAGTATATAACCTCTGTTCGTTCTAACAGGTGAACAGGGTTGACACTCCATATCAGTGTTGGCAAAATCATCAATCAAATGATATTTTTCCGCTCTCAATTTCACGCATGATATTGGAATAAAATATCATGCTTAATATTGATTTTACAAGCTCCTTTGATATTGCGAGACTATTCACAACGTGCAAAAATCAAGCTGAAAATTGGTTCGGCACAAAAATGATTCCGTTGCACTTCGTTTTCTTAGAAAGAGAAAGTATAGTTTGCTATACTTTTTTAATCCTCACCGATGGCAGACACGAAGTGAATGTTGGAAGCCGTTATGGAAGTTTCGGTTGCGTTCGGGTGTAAAGCAAAAATCATGAAACTCAATCTGACCATAGTTTAGTGAGATTTGCAGGTGGTGAGTTTTGTTTGCTTGATATTCTGAGCTGCGATATAAAAAAAAAATGCAAAATCAACCGCAGATGTTTGCTTGTTGATAATTGTCTACGAAAATCAAGCGTGATCTTGGGCGTTGGTGAGATTTGATTTTTTGATACTTTCCCAACACTGGTAGGAAGTGATGGGCAACTGAACCAACCGGTGCGCACCGTGTGCTGGTTCGTGAACAACAAAATACTCCTGTGTTTATGTAAGCGTGTACCCTGGTTCGGTTGGGTTTTCGTGTACCAGTGTGGCGGTTTTCGAGTTGATGTTCAGAACCCCAGCTTGAAAACCGAAAACCGGTGTGCTAGAATTTTGGTTTTAGTTCACGAAATCTGAACCGTGTGCATGGTTCAATTATATGTAACCAAAACCACACTGAGAAAACTAGAATTAAGATTTTTATAATACGTTTCGTATGAACGAGGATTTTGAACTGTGAAAATTATTTCATACGACACGTATGTTTTCCATAGCAGGCTTATACAAATTGCACTAATTGCATTATGATTTTCATACGAAACGCGTTTGAAGTTCATACGAGACTACAATGAACTTTATTAGTTTACCTTGTGTGAAAAAAATCATACGTCGTTCGTATGAAACGTTCGTATGACGTTTGTTCAAAGCAAAACAATATGGCGTACGAACAGCAATTGTTATCGGATCTCAAGGTTCCGGCGGAAGCTTTGCCTGTGTTCAGAGGTAAAAAACGCTAAATTCAGTGTAAAAGGATGTTCCGGGTACAAATTAGCATCTATATTGTCATTGAATCAATGAATTTCGACAAAAATTACAGAGTGTGGTGTAAATACGGCAGCCTTAATAACGTGAACTAAGCAGAACATATTTCAGGCATTGTCGTGCTAATATAAACTGGAAATATGATCTAATTTGGGCATTAATTTTGGAGTGGCGAGAGAGAAATGTAAGTAGTATTGTGTAATGATTATTTCAAGTTTATTGATTTTAAAGGGCTCCCCAGAATCTGTCTACCATCGCGATATATAGCAGACAATCCAAAGTCTCGGACACGATCGCGTGCGAAGGAAGTGGTCTGAATTGCCACCCAAACTGTAAACCCGGCGGGGATGAGGCTGTAGGCGAAAGCAGTGGCCTCAGCAACTACCCGGATTGTTGTAGTTCTAACGGAAGCGTAGCTGAAAAGACAGCACGAGGCAACAGCAGTGGCCCAGATTGTAGTCCCAGCGGTGGAAAAGCTGTGGAGACAATTTTTGGTGAAAGCAGTGAGGACGCAACAGAGGAGTCAATTGAATGCAACGACACTGATCTGAATAGCCAATCAGATTGTAGTTGAAAGATGATGATGATGGTCCCACCTCTTACCCCTACAAACGTTTGAGCTGGACGATTTATCTTTAAGATAATTAAATATGACATTTTAACCAGGTTGGCAAACAAAATCGAACTGGTTTCAGTTACAGATATAAATTCCCTCTAGAGTTTACAGTTGCTTCACAGCGATATAAATGTTGAAAAGCTCAGCCGTCCACCTCTTAGTTCGCCTTTTTTGTCCACCTAAAATGTTCATAAGTATTACAAGCAATCAAGAGTTGTTCAACAAAGCATCCTATTACACTAGTAACCCCGCAATCTGATGCTATCATAATTTTCAGCAATGTCAGGAATGCTCACGAACCCCCAACATTTGCCAGAAAACTTACTACTAACTCAAGGTATCTTCCAAATAAGCTTCAAAATTGCATTTTTTTTTTTATCAAATGTTAAATTCAGTCCTCTATATCCGTAATACGCGCGCGAGGCTCAAACCTTTGTAGACTACTATTTTTTTTACTACTACTATTAAATCAAATATCAAAAATCCATCATCACCATCGTGGCGAACAAAATAGTTTTTGCAGTGCTACAATAATTATTAACAAGTCGCTATAACAGCTATCCATACAAAATAATCCGTTAAAAATAACTTCGTCAAGATACATAATTTGTCAATTCATAAAAAAAAAAATCACTGGATAACCGTTCAAAAGACAGTTTTAACGTGTGAAATGCAATGTCTCTTAAATTCTGCTAATGTTGTTGAACGTTTAATGTGTCTAGGCATCGAATTGAAAACATTTATTCCTTTAAAAATAATGAATTCTGTGAAGCACAAGTCAAGAAATGTGGTGTTCTTATTTCATCCGCGTTTCTAGTATTATATCTATGATAGTCACTTCCTCTTTCAATTCGATCACACAAATATCGAGGCAGCAAACCGTTAACTACTTTAAAAATGAACACCATAGTCAAATAT